GTAGAGTATTCTTTCTCTTTTATCATTGGTTTATTTAAATGATAGTATAAAAGAAATAAAAGATGAATAAAATAAATAATTTAATAATTAGAAATAATTACGGTTTAATATGAAAGATTGTAATGTCATTTGTTCCTGCACTTCTCATATGAGGTCCCCATGCACCAGTACCTGGATGTGTGTAGAGATACATTTGATATTTGTTATCTTTTGATTTAATTGAATAAAGTCCATGTGCCTTTTTAAAGAATAAATAAACAAGAATATTAAATGGTGCAAATTGACCTACATGAGTATGTCCTGACAACATTAAATCATATATTCCTTTTTCACATGTTTGTTGATATCCATGAGGACGATGTTGTAAGATAATATTGAATGTATGAGGAGTAACTTCATTTGAAACTTTATTCATTTCATTGATATACTCTTTTTCTGATTGAGTGTCATTTGTTCCAATGATAGAACATTGAAGTTCTTCTTCCATTACTGATGTGTTTTCTAATAAAATAATCCCACAACTTGTTAATATAGATTTAAGATATTCAATGCCAGTGATATAATCATGGTTTCCAGTTGATAAATAAACTGGACATTGTGTTGTCAATGATTTGAATGGCATTAACTCTTCTGCTTGAATATTTGGTGAATCAGTTAAATCGCCTGTGATGACAACGAAATCAGGATGAAGAGGAAGTATTTTATCGACAATCTCTTGAGAATGAGAAACAAATCTACTTCCAATGTGGATATCACTGATATGAACAAATGTGAATTCCTTTGATATTTTTGATGAATGGAGATTAAGATAACAATACTCTAATCTATGTCCTTTCCAAAGTGAATAAACATCAACCAACAATGAGCCAATGAAAACAAAAATGAACATAGAGACTCTGTAATAATTTGGAAGATAATTTGCTGTGATAAATGATATGAAAAAAGAAGATGGTAATGAATAGAATTGAATAAGAACAAATCCAATGCAATCAATAATTAATAAAAAAGGAATCATATTTAAAGTGAATATCATGATAGAAATAGAATATAAAGCCAATCTTCTTAATTTTGGAATTACCATTGTTCCTAGCCCATAAATAATTCCTAGCAGTAATGAAATTCTTCTGATCCATGTATATTTATTGTACAACTCATCTTTTGAAATTGTTTTGTTTGAAATTAATGAAATTAAATGGGTTATTGGAATGGATAGAAAGAACATATACATAACAACAAGCACAGAAAATCCAATTGATAATAGAATTTTTCTAAGGGTATTGTCCATAACAAATCACTGTGAATGAACAACAAGTTCATTAACAAGAAAAACCTCATCATCAACTCTTTTAAAATTCCATTATTTTTAATTCATTTTTATAAAAACCTAAAATAAATTTAAAATAATTCTGAATAAAAAATAAAATAAAAATTGAATTAAAAATGTGTTTTTGGTTATTATCAGATTGTTTATTTGATTTATCATATCTTCTCTTAATACCCATTTGAATAACTTCTTTCTTCTTTTTTATTGAGTGCAATTCGTTTTAACTTATAACTATTGTAAAGTACTATCTTCTTATTAAGAACATCAAACTGTTCTTTTAATTTTAATAATCAACAAAGTAATAACATAAAAAGATATGAACTTGATCAGAAAATATGATGAATATTATTAATCATATCATTACTAAAATAAAGCATATTTTATTATAAATCTATATACTGAAAATACACTTTTATTACAAATATTACAACTAAGTTATAAATATAAAATTGATTCTAACAATCATTTTAGAAATAGAATTGTTATTCATAAATCAGAATAATAACAAACACATTATTAGATAATATCATTATATTAGACAACACAGATAAAGTAAAATATCATTATATTTGAAT